TGTTTAAAACCTTTTTTTTATTTGGGAAATAACTGCTAAAGCACAGACAGACTAATAAAGCAGCTTAGACTGACTTGTTATACTTGTGTTATTTTAAAAGAACAAAATGGCAAAAATGTAAAGTATCCTTCACATTAGGGCTGTAATTAAAGATTATTATGCATATATATTATATTAAATATATTATTCCATTTGAGTTCTGGAAAGAGTGGCCTGACAGATGAAGCTTTTTTTTTTCCATCTTGAATGCAAATCTTTTTTATATATTTCTTTACAGTTTTGGTATAATAACTGCTTTAAGTGGGTCGTTCTGTCAGCTAAAGGCATGTTTTAGAGTTTCTATTCTTCAGATAAGGATTAAATAATCAGAATATTTTTTTTCATCCCTACTTCACATTAGGGTATTTGAGACCTACAACAAATTTCTTTCCATATCAAATTTCTACTTGTCAATATATCATAACAAACACATTGCAAACAGTAGGATATTAAAATCAAACTCCACAGCTTCAGGCTGCAGTAGGAATAAATGTCACTGTTTCAAATAATAACATTAAATATAAGATTAACACAATAATAACATTAAATATTAATATGCAAGGAACACATTATACTATGGGGTTTAATGGAGAGTATTATTAAAGGTAGCACTGCATTAAAACTGGTGCAAAGAAAGCCTTTCGCAGAAATTATTGAACTGAACTGTCACAAACCTCAGGTTCTTTTTAAAACTAGGTTTTTTATTAGACTTATTGAGTCTAAACTTGCCTAACTTTCTTTGTAGAGAAGCTAATTTTCACTGGGGCTCTGATCATGATCTATTGGTTTATTTTATTAATTTTTTTGCCCTGCTTAGAGTCTGTATCACTGTCTTTTTTTTTTTACAGCAGACTGCTGGTCATTTACAGATGAAAAAGTTTTATTGGAAAATGAATTGTAAAATGTAAATCATATTCGTATCTATATATATATATATATATATATATATATATATATATATATATATAAAATTTTACAATTTTGGTATAATTCTCTTGCTCTAAGTGGGTCACTCAGTCAGCTATAGGCATGTTTCAGAGTCTCTATACTCCTGTTAACAATTAATGTATAACTAAATTAGTTGAGGATTATTCAAATAATGGATGAATTGTTTCAGTCCTGGTTTTAAGGCATTTTCCTGCTGCATAGTTAGAACATAACAGCATAGAGACTCCTGCTCCATCTGTTTAGTATCACTGATGGGAGTTTATAACCATAAACAGCTGATTTTATTACACTTAACAGGAGTTCGTTAAGATTAGAAAACTTTGAGCTGATATTAATAGTGTTCTGCTTTAAGTTCTCGGCATGTTAGAGAGTTTAGCGTGTAGGGCCTGCAGAAGCTGCTCTGTCAGATAAAAAGCTCCCAGAGGTCAGGCTGCTAGCTAAACCGGCCCGCGCGCCGGACAGACGTGTCCTTACCCTGGCATGGACGCTGCCCATGCTGAGCTCCGCTGCCCCCAAAAACTTACGACGAAACTTTCCGTGGAAATGGAAAACTAGTTTAACCTACAAAGTAACCGAGGAGCATCCGTATAAGGAGGCAGCCATGTCACTTCCTGGCCACGCCCCTTCCGGTACGCCTTCACCAGCAGCACACCGCTGTGTGAAACACGAAGGTCTTCAACAGGGGGTCCGCGACCCCTAGGGGTTCCACAGAGGTACTGCATGCAGGTCGCTAAAGTTTTGGTTAATAAGAGTTGTTTTTTTTATTCCCTCCTGCAATTTTTTCCACTAATTGAAATGTCTTTAAATCCACATTAACATGAATTCAACAGACTGAAGTAAACAGATAAATGGAGGCAGAAGATGTCTTTCAGTCATTAATGCACACATTCAGCGACACACAGGAGCTCTTTCAAGCTGGACACCGTTTCATTCAAAACACCTGTCCCATCAACCAGGAATCAGAAATACTTTAATAATCCCGGGGAGAAATTACTTTAGTTACATTACTCCATCTGTAATAGAGTGACGATAGGACCAGTTTGATAGAACACTATTTCATACAATATATATAATTAGGGGATCCCTGCTCCATCTAACCATCAGTTTGGGGTCCTTGGCCTGGAAAACGTTGAAGACCCCTGATAGACAGATTTCACTTTAGAATACAAACGTTTCCTTTGTGTAAGAGGACCAGACCTAAACTTAAGTGTTTTATACTTGGAAATCAAGATTATGTTTTTTGAAATTACGGAATCCAAAACAGAGATCTTTTATTTCCACAAGGGATAGATATCTGCCATTTCCCTTCATTTTAGAAACAATCTGATTATAAAATCTGTGGAGGACCAACACTGACATAATAAAAAAATAAAAGCAGTAATATATATACTGTACATATATAAATATTTTCCCTATACATGCATTTTTCCTGCTTTTTTTATTTATGTGAGTTTTGGTCCTTCATAAAAACCTCTATAAGTTGTTACATTCATGCTGATTTCTGCAGTTTCTACCTTAGTCAGTTAAATGACCTGCTGCTGTCATTTTGCACATCTCTATTGCTGGTATTTTCAAACATCCATTATCGTAAAAATGTCCAAAGCTGTATATTGATAGTTTATTCTGCAGATGCTCAGTATTTATATTGTAAAAACACTGTGGTGTGCAGTATTTCATTTATTTTCTTAATTCTGTAACTTATTCTGTTAATTTTATACACTTTTCTAAGGTCCGCATTTGAGTGACCAATTATCCTACAATCTTCTGCTGCGGTAACACAATTTCCCCATTGTGGGACAATAAAGGGATTTTCTATTCTATTCTGATTACATTATATCCCAAAATAAAAAAGCCAAACCCTAATTCTTAAATGTTGTCTTATACAATTCAATTGACTTCAAAAATTATTTATTAGTCCCAATGAGAAATTAAATGTTGCAGCAACTCATACGTTATATTTATAAACAGTTGCTGTGTAGGCTGGAAGGATCTCCTGTAGAGGTCTGTCTTTCACCGGATCTGATGAAGCCTCTGACTGAAGACACTCTTTTGTACATTTTCTGGAGAGGATGCTCGCTATTGTGCATAATTTTCTTCACTTTATGAAGAATTATTCTTTGTGAAATCATCTCCAGAGGTTCTATATGACTTCCTAGAACAGAGCCGGCCTTCTTTATCAGCTTGT